GGGAAGAATCGAAATGAAAACCGGATCGAGCTTTGTTGCCTACATCGAAGCTCCAAGTGAATGTTGCAAACAGTTCTTGTAATCGGTGAACTTCTGCCAACATCAATCACCAAGACCTGCACATTTCGCAGGTCTTAGGCTGGTGTCAGAGTCCGCGATTCGATTTTCGCGATTTGCGCGATTTTCGCGATTTGCGCGACGGGTCACGGAAATCACAAGTGCCCCATCAATACTGCAAGGTGTTCTCCAATCCCGCCGTCACTTCTGCTTGATGGTTATGGTTGAATGGAGACTGCTCATGATTCCACTTGTTTCATATCCAGTGTTTCAATTGTTCAAATGGGGCACTTGCAATTTTTGTGATTGGTTTGGTTTGATTCCTGAAAAAAAGGAACGATTCAAGAGCATTTCAATGAACTAATAGACATTGAACATGAAACAAGTAGAACCACAAACATTCGTCTTCCAATCTTTACTGCCAAGCAGAATTCGCAGCAGGATTAAACAACACCTCGCAGTATTCATCGGGCACTTCCAACTCCTGTGATCCATCGCAGGTTTCGCGAAAATCGCGAAAATCGCGCAAATCGCGAAAATCGCGCAAATCGCGAAAATCGCGCAAACGGATCGCGGACTCTGACACCAGCCTTACACCGGGCCAATGCTCTGTCAAGGACTTCCCACCGAGGAGGCTCACATTTGCGGTTTTGAATTCGGGAAAGGGGGGACCTACGGAGATTTCAAGGATGCGGTGGTCGAAGTTGAAATATACTTATTTATGGAGGCAATTTTTTCACAGTTGTGCTAAAAAGGTGCTGAAGCGGATGTGAAGAATATGCTTTCCCAAGAATTGTACGCACCCTCGATCAACCGCAGTTCTGGGAAATTGTGGAGGCGATACTGAAGTATGACACGTGGTGACAGCTTCAACGACGCTATGAACACCATCACCGATTTCCGCCTCCTGTTTTCCAACGTGACGACTGATCCTGCTTGTGCACTTCTTACGGACGCGCAATAACGTTATCAAACTGCGTGGCAAGTTCGTAACGGCCAGTTGGTGCGCAATCTAGCCGCGCGCGGCCAGTTGTCAATTGAAATAAGAATTATTCTTCAGCACGTTAGATCGGTTACACCGTAAACTACGTTGACGCTGGGGCGCGCAATGTCACATTTCATCGACTTTTCAGCTGCGGAGCGAATGTGCTGTGCTGCACCGAGCTGAGCGCCGCTCAGAGGACGCTTGTACCAGACTACGGTTCAATTGCACGCACCAGCGCACAATAGAGCGCTGCATTGTCAACGTGAATTACTGTAGAATCAAATTAACGTGCGGAGGCGTTCCTGCAATCTGTAATCAGTGCCTAGTCTTCCTACACAGAACGTGCGAAGGAACATGAGAAGTATTAAGAGTAGCTACCGCTAGCAGGTTTGTCGCCAGGAACTTTGAAATTTTAGATGTAAAAACTCATGGTTCGGGGTGCTGAATACCTATCACGGTTCTATTGCCAGGACGGTAGATAAACAGCAAAAAATTCTTTTGTACAGTTCCTCCATAGTAATGCGCAAGCAACCTTTTCGAGTGACTGCAGTGTAGGAGTTTGAGTAAGACCACCACTGAATGCAGCTGCTCGAAGTAGTGCCCGATATCCTTCTGAATACTCGTTCACTGTGCAATTATCGTTCGGCAGAATATTCATGTAGATCTGAATTTAAATCGTATATTAAATCAGAATTTGTAGAGGTGATAGAAGTTGAAGGGTTGAACCGTACAGGTAATTTCCTCCTTGTGTTAGACTCAGCCACTTTACGCCATCCATCAACATCAGATGCAATGACATCCGTGAACACGTAAACGACCGATTTCGGGTTGAGTGGCTGAAAATCACTGCTTTAGCTAAGAATTGAGGAGAAAAATCGGCGGAATCTTAGCAATTGACTTGAGCCGTCTGACCATCATGTCGAATTATCAAAAGAGAACTGCAATTCCACCCAAGGGCAGATGGTACGAATAAATTGGATGCTGAGGATGGGAATATGCTTACAACACTGGAAGGGTAACCCTCTAAGTAGACGAGACCTAGCATTTTCGCGCGAGACCACGACTAGCACAGTCCAACGAAGCCTTCCTCATGCGTAGCAGTGGCCGCTTTCCTGACAGTTCCCGCCTCCGTTTGGCCATCCCAGCGTTGGTCACTTGCCATCCCGCTCGCTCTTTTAGAAGGAATGCAGAGCAGAGCGTTCGCGCGGTGACGTTAGCAGTCGTTGAGTCCCGTTCAGAGCTGAAATAAGGAAACAAAAATACCATTCGCGGGTTTCAGGCCGCGTCTCTGATTTTTTCTTAATGAGTCTACCAGTTATCAGCTCTATTTCTATAGTACCATCTTCTTCTACACCACCATGGTTTAAAAGTCACATTCCTCTAACAGGGGTGTTATTTGTGCAATCGCTAAAGGGGCAAAAACTATTTTTTGAAAAGATATATGCTACTCCTAGTCTGAGCGTTGCACTTGTACTGTTGGGTTCTTCTTTGTTGATCGTGGCGCTCCAGCTTCTGGTATCTGAGTCTCGGTTGGCGTCCATGCTTTATCGTCTGTTCTCTTCCCTCTGCGCCCACGACCCTTTCGTCGTAGCCCTGCGCAACTGATAGTACAATGCGTCCTCAACATACCGCAACTAAACCACGGTATGATATGGGTTGAAGAAACGTATGAAGTTGAATACCCCAAAAATCTTAAACCAATACTCATCGCTCAATGCTCTTTCAAGCGATGATAGGAAAGGGACAATTTTGCGCAGCATTCACATTCGCAGTGTCGCACTCTTCCATATGTGATTAGTAATCAGAAGTATATACGTTTCTCGCGAGCGGGCGCAGTTTTTTGTCGCGCTCCTTTGATCTCATCGTCCCTGCGTTTTAGAAAAACTTCACCTCCAGGAAGACACTGGCAATCGGATCGAACGTTGCTTCATCACAGCCGCCTACGGTTGTCGAGTAGATAGCTGACATGATGTCATTGAGGAAATTCTGCAAGTAGCTCTGCCCATAAAAAGTCGTGTCGTACTCTAAACATTATTGACTTCCTAAACTCTCGAATAAGAAACCACTAAAGCCTTCTGTTAGCTCGAAGACGAGAGCCGTTCCTTCTGCTACATAATTTCTCTTTTCTGCCACTCACTGCCGTTGGCGAACTTCACTAGTACGTAGTTATTGTAGACGCTGTAGTCGAAGGCTGCGTTGCTTTCCAACTGTAATCACCGAAATTACAGTTCAATCGGTTTAGAAATAATTGTTCATGTGGACAGCACTCTACAACGGTTCTGACCTACCTCAGCTGTGATGGCGTTCACAATTTGTGAGGCATACTTGCTCATCGATGTCGTGGTTCTGAGCACTATGACGAGGGTCTTGAAATCCGTCAGGTATGGTCCTATATCGCTGGTGCATTGCACTAAAAATAAAAAAATAGAAGTTAAGCATATGAACATCCGAAATATGAGCTAGGACAACCATAGAAGAGGTCACACCAAGAAATTGGATTTGGAGATGTAGCTAGGGGTTGACAATGCACGACAGTGGTTCAGTAAACCACTTGTATGACAGAGAGAAAACCTCTGCCGCTGAGTCAGCAGACAGCGTGCAAAGCTATTTGGGGAATCACCAATTACGAAAGTCCCTCAAAAGTGTGATACATTATAACCGATGACCCACAGTACGAAAATACAAGTACAGCAAAGTACAATTCCGAACATATTCTACAAAAATATAAGAAAGCATCGGCATTGAAAATCACATAGGATTGAAGCAAATATAATAGAGTTGTTCTCTCTTATATTTGCTACTACTCTACGTGATGAATATATGTATACTAGCTCCATTTACTGGCAAAGAATTTGAATTCAATAATTTGGTTCTTGTTTTTTTTGAACTTTGAACAGGGATGCCCGATTGGTAAGAGTGTAAGCTCATGTCTTCCCTTTGAAAGCCGCAGACTTGATCCCTGCCGAGGCTGAACCAAGCCCTGCAAAAATGGTTCTATACCAGCATCAGGCCCAGATTGACAGGCTGACCGATGAAGACCCCGTCACACAAAAATGAAAATCACCGCCCGAAAGTGGCGCGCAGAACCCTCGCCCGAGTTGGGGGCAGGGTCAAGCGTGCGTTGAGGAATCCTCGACATGTCACAGAGGGGGGGGGGGTCGTATTGGCCCGCTGGGGAGAGATCGGGCCCGATTGATACAGTAGGATCATCGTCGGAGGACAAACATTAAGGATCGAATCGATACCAGGCCAGAGTATTTCCAATAACAATTGATTCCGTCCACACAAAATCTTCGTGATTTAGAGGTGTCCGCTTAGCAATTCTTAGTGACTTTAGTGTTTCATCACCACACAAGTCAAAGGATCCGAAATTCGCACGTTTTCTAGGGATATTTTATCTTTCAAGTAGGTCCTCAAATCCAACGAGATGTGAAGCACACGGCGCATCCCAGAGTGGGCCCAGTTGGTTGCGCGCGCTTCAGCTACGGCTATCTTGATAACGAATCTTAATTCAGGAAGAATCAAGAGGGTTCTGAAAGAGTTCATGTTAAATTACAGAGAGGAGTACACTATTCAACAAGAAACGCAGCCTTCAGCGTCAAATTCACAAGCATGTAACCTTTAAAGTTGAGACCCGCTAAACAATTTTACACTTTTTGCAGAGAGAAAAGCACGAGGATTTTGAATCTGCTCCTACTTCAGTATGTAATCGCTCCTGCAAGGAGCTATAGTCGTTGGGATAGTGCTAATGTAGCGAAAAAGTACCTTTCGGCGGTACTCGGGCAAAAATCCTCAACGTGGCCATTTTTTAAATAGTGAACGTATTTAGCAGTTTTAGTTGCCTCTAGAAAGAGCAAATCTTCTAGTTTATGATGACGTATTAACTTTCCAGATTGCATGAGTTTGAACGGAGTTATGGCTTTGGAAAGCGTAAAAACTCGCACTCATCACGAATTTTCCTCGTTAATTTTGCAAAAATCCTCAACGTGGCCATTTTTTGAGTACTGGACGTATGAAGCTGCTTTAGCGACCGTTTGATAGAGAAAATCTTCTAGTTTTGTATGACGTATCAACTTTTTGAATTTTGACGGAAATGAAGCAAGTTATTGCTCCGGAAAGTGTAAAAACTCGTGCTCGTCTCGAATTTTCCTCGTTATTTGATCTAAATTTGTTATTTCTTATAACTTCCTGTAATTTCAGTACTGATTAGAAAAAGCTCTTCACAAAACTCCCAAATCAGCTTTCAGATTGAAAATTCGTTCAACTTTGAAGAAAGTTATAATCATTTGAATATTTGTTCAAATTTCAATAGTAAATAAGCTGCTCCACGGTCAACGCCAAAGTCCGGCCGGACGCATAGTCGGTCGGACGACAGCAACGGTCGCAACTGTCTGACTGTCTAACTGCATCTAATCGTCGAATACTCAGGCAAGTCCGACGATCGATACGCATCCAATGCTGTGCGACACTTGCAGTCGTTGCTGTCGTCCGACCGACTATGCGTCCGGCCCATCCAGTCAACACACAGCTGGCGAAGGCTTTTACAAGGCTTCCTTTGAGCGAAAGGGGGACGTGTAAATTGAGAACCACAATCTGTGTAGTACTAGAATTTGGTAAGTCTTGTGGAGGAAATAAAAAGAAGAGATGTTGTCATAGTATGCCATTTTTAGTGACTAGTTTGTCGTTTTTTGCTCCGTTTGCTCGTTTGGTAGGACTCATCAATAATGATCATTCTTTGACTTTTTCACTTTTGTACTTCTTAAACGAATTTTTTTGTGGACGGTGGGGTAGCAGGGCTTTTTTATGAGCAGTTTTGGGGAGAATTAAACAACTTTTTCATAGTTCGGCTTTTGAAGAGGGTTGTTTCATGGACTTCGGCCTTCGGCAGAGGGAGGGGGGGGGGTCGTATTTCCAAATTTTCCTCGACGCCTCGCTTGACCCTGGGGGGGGGTCGTATTTCCGAATTTTTCGACTTTTGGGGGGGTCAGTATGCGAGGGCTACCGAGGAGTGAACGGCCTCGGCCAAAGAAGCTAGTTCGAATAGGGACTCTAAACGTAGGATCGCTAACTGGGAAGTCCCGAGAGGTTGCTGATCTGATGACGCGCAGGAAAATCCAAGTCCTATGCCTTCAGGAGACGCGATGGAAAGGTGCTAAGGCCAGGGAATCGGGGAAGGTGTCAAACTCTACTACAATGGAGGAAGACACCAAGCGGAACGGTGTGGCCATAGCGGTAGCGGAGTCGCTCAAGGACTATGTCTCCGCTGTGAACAGGAGCAACGACTTAATCATGGCTGTGAAGGTACACACAAAGGAGGGCAATACTGCCCATGCACGCGCCGCCGCGAGCCAGTTGCTCCGGCAGTGAGAAGGATGAGTTTGTTTTTCTTCCTGAGCCCGTACGAGATGATTAGATCGACTCTGGAAGGACCATAGCACCCAGAGCAGGTGATCTGGATTACCCCGTCAATAGCGACAGAAGAGGCCTGCAAAGAGTGCACGGAGGTAGAGCGATAGGCGTGGAGAACGAAAGGAGAAGGATTCTCCACCTGGCCACGGTCTAAGACCTGACGATTTGCTGGTGAATGCTGGCCAGTGGGAAGAACCACGAAAGGCAGCTTCACTCTGCCGAAGATGAGGATGCTGAGATGGGCCTGCGGCTGGACGCGACTGGACAGGGTCAGAAACGAGGATGTCAGAGCGGTCATGCAGACTGCCCCTGTCCAGCTGAAGGTACGGGAACAGCGTCTGCGATGGTATGGGCATGTGCTAAGGAGGCCACAGGATCATCCGATAAGAACAGCGATGGACTTCGAAGTGCAAGGCAAGCGACCGCGAGGAGCCCCAAAGAAGAGGTGGAGAGACGTGATCAAGAAGGACCTAAGTGAAGTCATGGCCACAGCAGAAGATGCCCTGGACAGACAAAGTGGCGACGGCTGACAAAGACAGCGGACCCTGCGACTGGAGGGCGGGGACTGATGCTAGGGAGAAGCAAAATTTGATTCTGGTTTTTTAAACTTGAATTTGATAGAATCTAATCGATCAGTTCCAGTGTGGATCTCAGTGGCGAAAGACTGATCATAACTGATGCGCCCGGGGAGCCACTGCAGGCCGCCCTTACTATCCACGTATCACTGGAATAGCCCGCTCACAAAAGCTGCTGCGTGAATGGATTCGAATGACAGTTAGCAAAAACGGTTGGTTTAGTGGTCTGGGGAAGCCGTGAAGAAAGGAGAAAGCCACTGAGATTCTATGACTCGGACTTAACTGGGGCCGATGTATCTGCTTGCTTTAGCTAATCTGAATTTCATGTTACAGGAACACGCCAGTCATGACCATTACATCTTTCTACCGTTTATAGATCGGCAGTCACTGACCTATATCACAGTTAGTGCCCTGATAGCCGGGAGGGCATTGACACTGTAGATTTCCTGGTAGTGGAGTCCCACCATTCATACAATTCACCTAAACTGATCAATACTAGTTAAGTTACGATTAAGGCTTATCGAAAACTTACCATATTGCATTCTCTTCCGTGGAATAACTCTGGACAGAAGCATGTCGCATTTACGGTACCCTGATAGAGAGGAGTACCGCCATTCGCACAATTGACAGTTGTCGACGGAGTCGTCGGCGGTGCTGCTGTGGTTGGTACTGGTTCTGAAAGTGCTAAATACAGCCGAACAAGGCGTGTTTTGGCATTAGTAATGTTAAATTTATACTAAAAGTTAAATCTTCTTGTATACAGATAGCTTTAATTGCATGTGGCCACAGCTTTTCGGCCTATGCTAGAGAGACACCCCACAATGAAAGCAGGAGATTAACTCCTCTGGTAGATAGGATAAAGCATGGTTGAGAGTGAAAACTCTCGAATACCAATGACTTGTACCCATAGGATAGGGCTGCCTACTAAGGTCCACATGTGCCGTTCTCTCAAGAGTGCCGAAGAAGGCGTAGGGCTCTGCTACGACGGCAGCCGATTGCCGGCCCTGCTCCTCGCAAAGCACCGTGCGCGAAGCAAGGTCCGGCAAGGTGTCTGCCGTCCCGCTTATCCGCTATGATCTCTAATCTCGTTCGCTTAAACTCTCGTTTCTGCCCACACTGCCTCTCAAGCTGTCTTTCTCTCCCGGTCTCATAAACACTTCAACCCAGAGAAAAGGTCTTCACTTTCAATGTTGTTTTCAATATGGCGTGGCATGAAAGGAAACTCACGGATGCACGAAAATGTTCCGGATCTCCTGTAAGCAAACCCGAACGCATCGACACCATCAACCTGAAATCGAGAACTGTTCCACGGAATGTGTCGTTGGCTCATCGTGCAAACCGGGTCAAAGTCTTTCTATTTGACTAACTTTTCAAACAGTAGGATATAAGGAAATACCCACATGGTAAACGTATCGATTTTGCCGGTTGCAGATAAATTGGCCAGCGTAGTACTCGTACGCACAGATGAAACGTTTCGTCAACAATGATCGATACACAGGTACTGTGGATGTGTCCGTGCGAACGGTCACGGCACGAACTTCTAGAACACATGATTAATGGGCCCATCTGAAGAGACCACGTATGTTTATTCGCATTTACTCTTTAATATCCACGTCTAACGCTGCACGAAAAAACTATTTTTTTTATGAAGAAATCGAAATAGCCGTTATACCCCCGGTGAGACGGGACGGTACTATCGTCCAAAACTTGGACCTAATACATAGCGTACTCCAAAGGTAGAGAGTGCTTCAGGCTCTACTGAACGGGTAACCACTGAAAGCCGCGCTGAGCAGTGGACTGCCTTCCCCACCCCCTTCCCCACACCCCTACTCCCCCTCCTTACAACACAGTGGCGTAGCGTCTGCGTCTGGAGTGTGGCACTCAAACTGATAAGCTGGAAAGAGACAGATAAGAAGATGTTACAATTTTTAATGGGTCCTTGCTGAATTGTAAAAAACTGAGGGCTCAAAAATACAATAAAACCTACGAGAAGGTGATGTTTTAGATCTAAAACAATGAGAAGTGAAATAAGTCGTTTTTCCAATACTCACTGACGTAGAATGATACTTCGAGTTGTAAGACATTTGACACACTGACTCGTTGAAACGCTCTCATTTTACCTCCGATCAATTTGTTAATGCAACGCAAATTACCTCCTGGCATGGTCAAATTGTTCACATGAGTGACGAAGTACATTGGCTGGCCTTCAATGGCCGACTCTGAGATCGGGGCGACATCGGTTTGCGGTGACAGCGTAAACCTTTGAACGACCGACAGACCACTGTATGACTGAAAAAATCAATGAACTTCTTGATAATTCCAATTCTACTCATTTTTTTCTCGATTATTATCGTGGGTGACCAGCAGTAAATTATTGAAGGTCAAAAAGACCTTTTGTCGGCTCATCTGCCGTTAAAGATTACTTCAACATACTGACGACATCACACTAGCTTCTTCGCCGCGTGGGACCTTAACGATTTGGCGGGCGCGATTTGTCTGACGCACACGTGCGTCAGAATGCTCAATACGGCCCCAAATATCTGATACGTATGCGCGTCAATCTGTCGTAAATGTATTAATGACTCTAAGAGCGGAAAATCTGAGAATAGTGATTACTGTGAAACACTGGGTGACATGTGATTGGGGCTATGGTGCTGCTGCACAGTTTGAGATCTTTTTGTGGCGGAAATTCGTGCCAGCTTAGCTTCACGCAGCTGGACCAAATGACTGCACGCAGCCGGACCACTTTTGATTCCTGGGTTTTTCAAAATGTTATCTGACAAGAACAAACTTACGATGACTTGAACAAGACAATTTGACGTTGGCACACCACCGTTATCGACTGTCAGTTGGTATGGTCCCGGTATGATATTAATGTAGCGACAAAGTGTGTATCCCTCATTAACACTGCCGTCACATGGCATCACATTTCCTGAAATACGTTCGCAACACATTCGAGGATTCCGGAGATCGTATAAAGGCTCACTACTCAGTGCTTATAACCATAACCTAATTTTGTAGAAATCTCAGACAGCCAATAAAGTAAAGGAAGTGAGTGCGTTGAAGCTAGGGTTCACAATAAATAGATAGCCAATTACAAATCAATTCAGAGGTGGTCATTGATACAGAGACGAAAAAACCAAAAGTACGGCCTAGAATCGAAATAAGTCCCATTCTCCCCGCTGATTTACACCCTGACAGCGAGTCCCACTGGCGCTGACGTCATTAAAATGATGTTCTTCATCTCTGCTCAATGGCTGGTATCGTGGCCAGATTCCGACGGCTAGCAGAAGGCCAGTCGTAGGGAGTATGGCGTCGCGAGTGTCCCCAGTACAGCCCGCTAGGCCACTAGGGGCACTCCTTTCGCTGCAAAACAGGCATCGTCCCGCACTCTGAATGGTCCGTCTGCTTTTCAACTCGGTATATTTCCCCTCCTTTGACCTCGAACCTTACCGGGGTATCCTCTTTTAATCTCCTACTGGTCGAAAAAGGGAAAAAACCGCTAGTTTCCGTGAATGCGAAGAAGAAATTGTTGGAATGAGTAGGGAATTTGCAAAGACCCCACAAAGTTTGTGGATAGTGGATGAACTACCATTGGTATACAAGAACACCTTCATCTGCCTCTCTGCTGCAGTGGCTGGAGCGCAGACGGAGAAAGTACAAGGGTGGGGGCGGTTCAATGCTAGGCGGAGTGGGCGTTGCTACCGCAACCTCTTGTGGCCTAGTCGAGCCGTTTCAAAACCGCATTTTGCCACTTCTTTTGAGCAACTAGCTTCCCCAGCTACAACTGATATTAGCTCTCTGTCATTGGCCAAATTGCCGTATACACTGCCGCAACTATTATTTTTCGCCATGGAGGTTCTTGTTTAAGAGAGAACCCGAATTCAGAATGATATTAATCGAGAAAAATTGCAATAGTATTAGTCATACCGTTCGAATCAGTCAGGTTCGGATATGGTCTCCCAGCTGCGTTTATCTCAACGGTGAGTATCGGAGTCATGCTATCGATCGGCACATAGTATCTGTAGTAGGTAAAAGCAAACGCGTTTATCACAAGAACATAAATAGAACCAACAAGAACATGAGAAAAGAGAATTCGAAGGCAGTGATTATGACGTCTGGAGAGCACTGCGATTCGGATGACGTCATTGAATGGTGGAGGGCGGTATCAACCACCCCTCCACTTCTAAACGTTGCGACCACTGTCTTTAAGTTGCCTCTCACCTTCCAGTGCATCCAGATGGTAGATTCAGGATATCGATAAGCTGATAATCAACCGTACTTTGAGGAAGTTTGCCGACATCGCTACATACAGCTAAATAAAATTAGATTAGTATACGGTAAGGGGCATAGGTTTATATTATATGTCAAGGAAGAGCAAGCAGGGTGAAAAGGTTTGAAAAAGTCGATATGATTTCCCCTCTTCTTGAAGCTTATGAGAGCTTTCAGCTAGGGTGCCACGACTCATCTAACCCTCTAGCTCCTACCAATGCCCCTCCAACCACAACAAAAACATGTCTGACTTTGCATTCTACCCAAGAAAGAGTGGTGTGATGCCACTCAATAAAATAAAAAAAAATAAAGGAATGGTGTGATGTCACTACAAAATTGGTAATGTTCCTGAAATTTAAACAGGTGCCGTAAAATCCTTGCGAAATTCACAAAATTTACCAAAATTTTAAGGAAATTTCTAAAAAGCTTTGAATATATGAGAGGAATCCCTGCAATAGCCTAAATCACAACCCTCGCTCTCAGAAAGTACGCTGTCAGTTCCACCCAATACAGACAGTTCCTTCAGTAAGTCAGGTACGAAGAGTGTGGTTCGCTAGAACAGAAAGCGACTTTTTCGCGTTTCGCAGCGCGAAACATTGTTCGTTGCGGGAATCTCGGGTCCACTGATGATTCGCTGCGGGAACCTCGGGTCCACTGATGATCAGCGGTGGACCTGAGGTTCCCGCAGCGGAAAATGTTTCGCGCTGCGAAACGCGAAAAAGTCGCTTTCTGTCCTAGTGAACCGCACTCAGGTACGAACTTCTACTGAGGAAATCTCGGCGTTGTATCGGGCGGGACCCGTGTGTCTTATAGTTGAGACCGGTCAAGGGTTTGGGCAGTGAACGTGATTTGTAGGTAGCCTGCGACCAGCAATCATTGGTCGGATTCGCTTAGAGCTGAGATCATAGCGCTCAGCTACATGAGCATCTCCGAACTCTGATACCGAAATTTTCGAAGCTCCAAATTGCTTTCAATACGGGTTTTAACAGTCTGCGTGGTTTGATTTCAGCCACATCTTGATTATGATCAGTCCACAAAACTTATTGACGTTGATAAAACACAGTACACAAATTTCGAAGCGATTTCCTGATTGAGAATAGGCGTCTATAATGACCGCTTCACTTACGATTCTCGCAATACTGTCCAGTCCATCCGGGTTCGCACTGGCTTGTAAAACCAAGCGTAGCATAGATTGCCCGCTTTACCCTCTTGTGAAACGGTTCGCTGGGGGCTTCGTAGAAATTCGGCAGTTCTTCATGTGATGGTCTTGACAAGAGTGATGAAATCCCTGAAATACGGTAGCATCAAGCTTCAAGAATAGAAAAAAAATTTCATAAGAAGTGTAACAGCCAAAGTCTTTGAAAAAGCAACCAAAATGTTGTTTAAGATAGGGAGCAGATATCAAAGGGAATTTCATCAA